CCCCCCCCTCCCATAAATAATCGGTGGTTACTTAGCCTCTTCACTTGCTTAAACCACCCTTTCACTTGACCTTAACCCCACCATTATTAAGCATAATAATAATAATAATAATAATAATAATAATAATAATAATAATAATAATAATAATAATAATAATAATAATAATAATAATAATTATTATTATTATTATTATTATTCATATCATTCTTCTTTTTCAAATACTACGATTAGAAAAATGCAAATCCCCTTATCAGATTTGAACATGTTTTACGATGTTAAAGGGTTAGGTTGAGTGGATTCCTGAACGAGTCGCTATAATTGCATTATACCATTTAACCACCATAAATAGTTGAAGGGGTCTTTCAATGATTCGTATTCCAGTCAAAAACTTCATTTTATTTAACAGAATTATTAGTTTCGAAGAGATGCCTTTGATGAGAAGATGAAAAATTGGTAGAATCGTAAATTCCATCTTAATTGGGATAGTTGATCTTCTTCTCCTTACCTTGTTTATTTTTTTGCTTGTCTTAGGTTTGGGTTTTGCTTTGGCTTTTGTCTGGGGATGTTTCATTTTTGTTTCTTTTTGTTCTCGTTTGTTGTGGTGGATTTTTGTATCTTCTTGTGTTTAGCTTCTTGCTGGATCTGTTGTTTAATATATTTGTTGGCTTAGTGAGGGTGATGGCCATGTCGAAGCTCTCTTCATTGTCCTTCCTTTTTTGCCTTTCAAAAAAATAAAAATAAAAAAAATCATAAATTAAATTAGGAAATTAACAATTTTAATAATTTTGAATTAAAATTTTAAATATAGATTATATGGATAATTCCCAAATTTGCTCTCTCCTCTTTTTCTTTCCTCTGATTAACAAAATAATCTAAAAAAAAATAAAACTAAACCTAACACATTATGAACACCTAGTAACTTAATAAATATCATCAACTAATCTGTCGAGATCATAAATGAACATAATGTGAACACAAAAACATAGAATGAAATTAATTTGTCTTTTATAAACAAAAAAATAACTATTGATTATTTTCAAAAAATAAATATAATTGTCTTTCAAAAACAAAAAGTGAGATTATAATTTAATACAATTAACTTGTTTTTTTTTCTATCAGATTATAATTTTTCATTTAATCACAACTGTTGATGAAAAAAAAATGAGAGACTCAGATAGATTAACAAAGTCAATATATAATCGTAAAATTGTGATGACATTCATTACTTTTTGAATATAAATTTGCGATTGCTAATTACTGTTACCAAAATTTTCGAAGTTTAACGTTATTTGATTAAGTGGCCGTTTACCGAAATACTTACTCGGTAAGTGTTTACCGGTAGGACATCGACATTATAATTTATTTTTATCAGATAAGATTGTAGTACATCAAAACGATATCTTATGCAACAATTTACCAGGTAAGTGCTTACCCGGGTAAGAGTCGTCACCCTCACTTACTGGGTAAAACTCTCAATCCTTATCATCACATTTACCAGGTAAGATTCTTGCCTTTCTCATGTTCATCTAATGAGGAAAATTGCCCGATAAAAACTTACCATGTAAACCTTTGTAAACGTCCCCTAACATTAATTTGTTTTGCATTAATTAAAATTTATTTTTTACAATATCTCAAATTTTATATTAAACATGAAAAACTTACAAACCAATTGAAGAGGTATGAAAATTGATTTTGAACACCTCAAAAAACATTAAGAAATAATTTCTCACATTTTAATCATTATTTTAGGAAAAAACTTATTTGATTTTCGGGTTGACTTTGATCAACTACGTATGAAGGTTGATTTGAAATAATATAATCCACTTAATACTTCCGTAATTTATAATTTGACAGCGATCAACTACTTATTCAACTGGTTAACGGATTTTTTAAATAAACATGAACTTTGTTCTATATATACCCATTAAATACTGACTCTTAAAATTGGTTTATTAAAATATAAATCAAGGTAAAGTTGGTTCCATTTTAATATATCTTTTTCTATAGTTAATAATAAAATATTTAAAAAGGAGAATATATCGAAATCGATCATAATTTAAAAAAGTGTTTTATATTCTCAGATATGGCAAATATTTTGTCGTTATAGGTGTACTAACACAAAATATGAAGTGACAATAACGGACCTATCATAAATCCATAACCGTTGGACCGACCTTTTTTGGATTATATATATACATATATGGCTATTTTCAATGTTCGTTTCATTTGCTATACATTTTTGTCTACAAGTTTACCAAAATAGGTATAGATTTGCAAAACCTATATCCGCAATTGCGGATCCAGCTAAAAGGTAAAAATATTACACTTTCTACCCCTGCTTACAAAAAACATTTTTCACCCAACTTCGTAATTTTTTTACGTTTCTCACCCAAATCCGCAAAAAAAGTTTACATTTTCCACCCAGGTTAGCAAAAAAATTTAAAATTGCGGATCTAGAGCTATTTTGGTAAACTTTGGGAATAAGTGACTAAGAAGTGAAACTAACCGGTAAAAATGACTATTTTTATTAATTT